CTCTTGACCGCTCCTTCTTGACGTGCCTCCTTTTGCTCTTCACCTGACAGGCCCTTTCCTGCTGTCTCTCTCAGCCTCTCCCATCACATCCACAGCCGCTCTGCCAGCCCTGGTAGGTTTAGGGACCTCCCCAGAGTAGGCCTGGTACAGGCTAGGACCTCCTAACACCCTGGAGGCTATAGGGACATGAGGATGGATCTGCAAAAGCACCCCGTGAGACCCCGGCATCACGCATCTGGAGATGAGGACTTGGAGAGTCCAGAAAACCAAAATCCTCAGAAACAGGTCCCTCTCTGGCCTGGGGCTCTGCCAGCCAAATCCATCCCCTGACAGAGGCTGCCTTCTTTTCTCACCTTCTTTGGGGGGACCAGGAGATAGCTCTGTAGTGATGGCTGTGGGAGACGCTGGTGGGGAGGTGAAGCATTGTGGGACACTGTCCACTTTCCCAACATGCTCCAGGGCCCATCGTAGCCCTTGGCGGGTTTGGAAGAGGAGGGGAGGGAGGGCTGGTGCCGAGAGTGGGAGCCAGGCCCATCGAGGTCCCAGGAGTGAATGCCTCATTGTTGGCCAGGCCAGAGTCACAGATAATTACCTCAATTAGTGACAATGGGAGAGTAATAAATACAGGCTTAGTGTCTCCTACCCCACCAGGGCTCCGAAGATTAATCCAGGCTGACGGGCGGGCCCTGAAAGGCGTGATGGACAATTCATTAAACTCCCCAAATGCCGCACAACCTGGGCGTGAAGGCTGAGTTAGCCCCCTGGGGGCTGTGCCTTTGTCCCGATTGTGTGTCTCCGCCACAGCAGAGCCGGGCAGCCCCCAGAGAGCGGGGAGGTGAGTGGGGCTCCCCAAGCCGGACCAGGCGGCGGGAGGATTAGGCCTCGGTCCGGCCCTGGTTGCCCTGGCACACTGGCCCGGCCTGGCTGGAATGTCCGTGGGGGGGAGCCGGTCGAGCATAGGGGCGGGGCCGACAAGGTGGGGTAAGGGGGGCACACAAAACCAGGGGCAGGAGGAGTTAATTAGACGCCAGCCGAGGAGGGCGAGGGGCCACAATAGGGCTGAGGGGCCGCCAGGGACGGCCCCTTAACTTCCGAGGATTAATAGGGAGGAGGGAAAAGGGAGGGGTTCAGCCCTGGGGGAGGAGAGCTGGGAGCTTCATAGGGTGGAAGTGCCCCCTCTTGCCCCAGCTTGGCACCTACTTGGCAAGTGGCTGGGAGGCGGGAGGCTCCGGCAGCCTGGACAGGTACCCTCAGCATCCCAGAAATGGCTCTTTCTTCATCACATGGCACCTACTTAGGGAGGATGATTGCGCAGGAAGGGGAGAAAGGACCCCCTCATTTACAAGGGAAGTAGTGGAAGCAGAAGTGTTTGGGGGCCCTGTTCTCAGTCACCCCCCGGCCCCATGCCCCGTAACCTATTCTGAGGCATAACCAGGAGCCTGAAGCTTTGCTTTCCTGATGAGGCTGCCAGGTTGAAGCCAGGAAGTCCTTAGTGGGGGCTGGAGGTGATGTGAGCACATGGAGTAGGGGTGGCTGTGTGTGCTTGCACCTGTGTATGCAGACACTGTGCACACAGGTGTGCCTGTGCACAGGGTCTGGCATTCAGTTGGCTTTCAGTTAATGCTTGTCGAATGAATGAATGAACTTCCGTTTTGCTGAGCGTAAATGCGTATGAAGAAGAGAAGTAGCATCCGGCTGTGCCATGACACAGAGTGCTTTGGGCCCTTTCATTCTGAGCTTTCAGCCAGGGCCCAGGGAGGGTAGGGACCCCATCTCTGAAGAGATAAGCAAACGTTCAGAGAAAATGGAGTGGCAGTAGTTCCTTCACCTTGAAAAGGGGGGAAAATATGGTAGCCTTTAGGAAGCCCCACTTCCTCCTGGGCCTCAGGGAATGGGGCAGCCCTGGCTCCTCCCTAGGAGCCACCCCACCCTGCCCCTCCCAGGGGATGACAAGGGAGCGAGTTGGCGGCAGTTCCCTGGGCTTATTTATAACCTGCTGCTCGCTCACCAGCGTCTGCTTTTAGACCAGACGGGGGAGGGGGCAGGGGGGTGGTCTGTCTCATGCTGGGCGCCCCGGCTGGGTGTGGAAAGAGTGAGTAAGGGTGAGTGGTGGGCAGCCCTGCATGGATATTCCTGCTCACACCACAGCCAAACAGCTTATTTTCTCCTCATTTTGTTATTTTTCTCCCTCAGCGCTGGAGAGGAGGACTGAGCCAGCCTGGGGCGAGGGGGGAGGCTTTGGGGGAGGCTGGACCCTAGGGTATTTGCAGCCCCACTGACAGGGTTTTTCCAGGGTGCGTGTGGCAGGGTGTGTGTGGCACTGGCTCGCTGACCCCCTGGGGACTGTACACAGCCTGCCTTTCTTCTCAGCTTTTCCACTCCCCCCAGGATATTTCAGGACTAGTCTTTCTCTCACTTGCTCAGGCCAACCTGTATCCAGGGTCCTGGCACCTGAAGATCAGAGGTGGTGGGAGGTGGCGCATCAGGCACAGTCCTGATGTCACCATCCTATGGCCACCACCCTGAGCCCACTGTGGCCCCTGAGACCTTTGTGAGTCTCCTTTCTAGGCACAACTGTTCTTCTCCCCAGGATGTACCTGCTCCAGCCCTGTGTGAGGACAGCACAGATGATCACAATAACAAAATGATTAGCTTCTATACAGTGCTTTGCAGATCCCTCCGCCCTTTTACTTGTTTTTTTTTTGTGTGTGTGTGTGTATGTGTGTTTTATTAGTGCCCATTGAGGGCCCAGCCTCATTCTGCACTTCCCAACACCATCACCTTTGAAATTCCAGCCCTTGGAAGAGAAGGGCCTCCATGCCGAGGGCTTGAGTATGGGAGTCTGCCCTTAAACTTCATTTATGCGCAGAGGGCTTTACACTTCATTGAGCCTTCATTGCACTCCCTCTACTACACTAACCATATCTGTGGATGTGCTTGATCCCCTGGCCAGACTGTCAACCTCCTCCAAGCAGGCACTGTGGTTTATGAATCATTGTATTGCCAGCATTTGGCAGATGCCTGGTATAGAAGAGGTGGCAGTGAGTATTCAGATGACCCAGGCTTTCAGGTACATCATCTCATCTGAACCTCATCACCTCCCTAAAAGGTTAAGTAACAATAACCATCCCTGTTTGATAGGCAAGGCAACTGAGTCTGAGAAAGTACAAGATTTGTTGAAAGTCTGGGTAGGGGCAGAAAAGAATTCACCACTTTCCCTTGCTCTTCCTCCAGCTCCTGTTTGTCAGCCTGGTTCAGAGTGCCCCAGGTTCCAAGCCTGATAGCTGATACTGACTCCAATTCTTGGAGTTTGAATTTAGGTGAGAGTAGTTAGAGACAGCTGCCAACACTTTGCCTCTACCCTGCTGCTTCGCCCCAACTCTGGGCACTGTCCAGCAGGGGCCCAAGCCCCGCCTCCCACCTCTGGCAGCCTATTAACTTCTTATATGGGGAGTTGAGGGATTTAATAGCTCTTTGGCTTATAGACTGGGCATTCTCTGCAGGATGCTCTTTATGGAAACCCAAAGCTTTTCAGGTGCCTCTTCCCCAGGATCAAGAGGTTTTTATTTCTCCCCCTAGGGTGAGGAATCAGAGCTGTGATGGTGCTAGCTTGGCAGGTGGAAAGAAAGGGAAAGGGATGTCATTGCAGGATTGAGCAGTTCCTGGCTCCATTCCCTTACCCCTACACATATCCCAAAGGCCCACAGCGGGTCACACATCCAGGGAAAGGTAGGAGGCACCAACAGCAGAAGAGGCCTGAATAGGAGAGAAGGGAATAGGGGAGAAGGGGAAATTCTCAAGCTGACTGGGAGCAGTTGTTGCTCTTAGGGGATAAGTGGGGTGTTTCACAGCTCCCCTTGCCCTTCTGATCCTCCCCTGTGGGGAGGGGTTAGGATTAGGGACAGACATTAGAGCTTAGAAGGGGTTAGTGTTTGTCTGAAGTTAGGGTTAAGGCTAAGGTTCAACCTAGACCTAGGGGCAGGAAGAGGATTAGAGTTAGAGATAGGTTTAGGGCCGTGGGTAGGATTAAAACTCCCTCTGACTCTGGCGAATGTGAACACAGAGGTATCACATTGGTGTTAGTAACAAAATCCTCATTCTGGCTCTTTATGGGAATGGCTAGCTTCGTGGTTTGGTTATGGACCACATTAGGGTTTACTTTGGTTACATTGGTTTAAGCCTAGCCTGCATTTGGATTCTAGCCTACCTGCTCCCTTCTCTCCCACCAGCATCTCTGAGCTTCTGGGTCCAGCACCGGGCTCATCACCTATTATCTGGATCCCCCTGAGCCCAAGATTGGGAGCGGGGGTCCTAATAAGGTATTATATATATACCTAATAGTCTATACACACACACACACACACACACACACACACACACACACATATATATATATATATATATAATTTTTTTTTTTTTTGTAGAGATGGGGTCTCCCTAAGTGGCCCAAGTTGGTCTCAAACTCCCGGGCTGAATCAATCTACCCTCCTCGGTCTCCCAAAGTGTTGGGATTACAGGCATGAGCCACTGCCCCAGGCTGGTATTTACTTTTCTGCTGGTGGAAGGGCTTCACCCTTGTCCAGTGCCCTGACCACAGCTGAAGAAGCCAAGCTTCAGGGACCAGTAGCTCTACGTCAGGGGCAGCAGCACCCTTTCTGCTTTAGTTTCTCTTCCTACTTTTTGGAAGATGGTCACAGTTGTCATTCAATAGTAGCTATTTTCTCAACAGCTGTTCCAGGCAGGAAAAGCAGGCACTGGGGTTGTTTAACCCCCATTCACCGAGTATATGCACTTGTCCATATCACACAGCCAGTTGCTGTTCCACGAGGAAGAAGAACCCTGCAGGGTTGTTTGGCTACTGACCAGGTTCCTCTCTCAGGAGAGCTGGATTCCCAGTGGCCTCGTTAGGGTCATCCAAGGGTCAGAATCTCAGGGTCCTCTGGCAAGGTTAGGAAACCAGTCCCCCAACAGCATATTCTATTTGTTTGAGAGAGGTAAGCTTCCAAGCCTGGGAGTGGTAAAAGGAGAGGATAGGGGACACCACAAACAAGGCTGTGTTCTGGATTCAAGGAAAAGCCACCAAGCCATCGATAAAAATAGAGATTTTATTCTGCAGAGGAAGATGCTACATTGGTGGGGGCGAGGAGCCACTAATAGCTACAATGGAAGGAAATACCGATTCCAGGAGGCAAACGCATCTTTGAGAAACTGAGGAGAGAAGAGGGACCATAAAAGGCTGCAGGGAGAAAGAAGAGAATAGTGGAGAGGGATAGGGTTGGGTTGGAGGTGTTCTTTGCAAACCAGGCTGGGACCCAGCACAATAAATAGTTTTATTTACAACATCCAAACTCGTGGCTCTGTATCCACGTTTCAGTGCAAATTATTTACACACTGATGAGGAGGCAGGACAGGAAGGGGTAGGAGGTGGCCCAGGGAGGCATGGCTCACAGCTGTTCAATGGCTCCACGACAGAGACTGGGAGAATGGGGGCATTTCTGCTGGTTCCCGCAACCTCATTTCCACATCATCACAGCTGCCCTTTTGCCCTGGAACCTCCTGCTTCAGCGGCAGATGGGGAGGAGAAAGGCCCTGATGCCCAGGTGTGGGTTCAGGGTCTGCACCCGTGGCAGGAGAATAGGAAGGGGCCTCGGAGGACCCAGAGAAAACGCAGGACAAAAGGGAAGAAGAGAGGCAGAGAGGTCACTGGTGCGATGGAGCAGGCAGAGTGACACCGTCAGGAGCTGACCCCATGGCGGAGGGGACCCATCCTTCTCCCACCTCCTGGCCAAGCAGGGGGCAGTGCAACAAGGGGTCTCCCGCGGAGAGGGAGGGAGGTAGGTCCGGGGCAGGTCCATCAGGATGGCAAGAGGGTTCATGCCGCCCCAGGCAAGTGGTTTGAGGAGTCCCCAGGTAGGAGGAAGTGGGAGAGATGGGATACATATGAACCGCGGGGAGTGTGACTGGAGGTACTCGGGTGGGCGAATAACCGGGTCTTGAGTGCCAGCGAGTCTCTTTGGGGGAGGGCTCGCGGAGAGTGTTCCCGGGGGCAAGTCCGCGCAGCGCCTCACAGACACTCGTGCAGTACGCGCGTGTGCGTGCAGTTGCGGCAGCTGACGTGGCAGCACCAGTGGAAGGTGCAGTTGCAGCGCTCGGTGACGCGCTGCGTGCGCGTGCGGTGGCCCCTGCCGCAGCAGAGCAGCTCGCAGCCGTCCAGCGCGGGCGACGAGCTGTTACAGGCGCGCCCTGCCGTGCCCGCTGTACCCAGGCGTCCGCTGTACGTACAGAAGTTGGGCGATTTCTCGAAGTAGACGAGGTCGTGGGGGGAGGGCGGTTTGTGGGCCGGGTCTTCCGGCTCCAGGCGCAGCAGCTCCGCCCGCGAAGCGCGGTTGCTGCCGCGGTTGCCGTAGAGGACGCGCGAGGCGCCGTCGAAGCGGTCGCGCAGCACATCGCCCACGGCGCGCAGGGTGGGCAGCCGCATCCAGCACGTGCGCACCGTGCAGGATCCGGACATCCCGTGGCACTTGCACTCCTGACGCATCTCGGAGAATACGGTCTGCGGGGAGAGGGGAAGAAAGAGTGTCTCAGGGCACCCGGCCAGAGTCACCCTCCCAGACACTGCCCCCTCCCGGACGCCACGGGGGCCGGACCTCAGCAAAGGCCCAGGCCTAGCTGAGCCCAGGGGAAGGGAGGCGCGAAATGTTCCGCTGAGATTTGGAAACCCTGCCCAACCCTGCTCCGCCGCGGCGGGTCAGTCTCGTCCTCTCAGGCTTGTTTTTCAAATCTGTATAGTGAAGAGACTGTGCTTGATTTGTAACCTCTTCTACCTGTCCGCGGGCCAGGCATCCGTTTGCCCTCAGCCACTGTCTCCTCTATTCTCCGGCTTCTTTCCAAGCCTCCAGCTCTCCCAGGACGCCCTCTCCTGGTGCCCCTTGCCTTATCTCACCGACCGTCTCTTCCCCAGCCCGAGGTTGGCCGCTGCCGCTCCGCTTAGGGTGCGGAGCCTCTCAAAGCTCACCGTACGGCCAGCCTCGTTGTTGTGAAGGTTCATGAGGAAGCGCAGGTCCCGCCCCTTCTCCCCGGAGTCCACGAACTCCCGGCCGAAGAGGCGGCCGAAGTCAATGTTGTCGCTGCAGCCCCCCCAATGCCAGTCGGGGCCCCCGGGGCCGCGCCGCCGGTAGTCACACGTGCAGGATTCGATGGAACCCTCTGAGCAGGAGCGCGCCACCGAATGGGTGACCCCGGCGGAGGTGATAGCGAAGATAAACGCCGTTTCTCGACAGCCTGTGGGAGAAGGGAGCAGGGGATCGGCGAGGGTGTACGCGGGGCGCGGCCAGCACCCTCAGCGAAGGGCTTGGGACCGGAATCCAACCCCCGACTCCGCACTTAGAGTCCTGAGAGCCAAGGCCGGCAGTGCTGGAAAGCTGGTCTCTAGGGCTAGTAGAGAAAGCAGGTGCGTGGGCACGCAGCCACGTCCACGGGCGTAATCACACCTTACTGGGAGGTTCCAGGGCGCATTTTGGCTCGATAGCGGAAGTGGAGCAGCCCCAGAGAGAAAAACCAAAGAGAGGGGAGCAGAAGAACCATACATCCCCAAGACTTCTTCGCAGCCCAAAAGTTTCCGCCCATGTTGGAGATGCAAGTCTTGCTAGGCGAGAGGCAAGACACACGCCTGTAGAGAGCAGCTTCCCAGGCGCTTTTGAGAGAGGCTGGGGGAAAGCGGCGGTCAGCCGGCGTCCGCGACCTGAAACTTTATCTGGGGCAGTAGCTCAGAAAAGTTAAGCTTCGCTTCCAGGGTGCACGGCTGTTAGAAGTCTGGCCCCGAGCTGGCGCTGGGCACCAGGCACTTGGCGGGTTGATCGTGTGACCCTCCAGACGCCTGGGATACCTTCTCTGAACTCGCCCGCCCATGCCCTGGGGGTGACCCCGCGTTTCCCCTGCTCCCGGAAGCGTCGCCTTCCTGGGCACCCACCTCGGTTGACGATCTTGCCGAAGAGGTGGGGCCCTGGAGCAGTGGGACAGTTCCAGCGGCGATTCCGGAACTGCCACTTGCACTCGCGCACGGCACTCTGCAGCCCCCCACTCACGCTGTGCAGGATCCCCGGATTTTGGCGTATCAGACGCCGCTGTTTGCGGCTCAACAGCTGCAGACTGGGCTCGAGTACCAGTTGCAGACTCTTGGAGTCCGTCAGCAGGTTCGTGGAGGAGGCTACGTTCACAATACCCCTGGTGGGACGTATGATAGCTCAGGCTCAGGAAGGGGATCCGCACCCTAACCATAAAAACTGTGCCACCCAGTCCTCTTCCTGGGGGTATGTGGCTGGAGAGAGTGGCGGGAGATTAATAATACGCTAATAACCCCGCGCTCCCAGGCTCACTAATTTGAAAGAACTGGGCGTCCAGACTTGTGTGTCCCCATTAGTCCCAGGGCTGCTCGCCTGAGCCCTAGGTCCGGAGACTGGACAGAAGAGGTACCCGGAGACCGAGTGTCTACCTCGGATCTCCGAGCCTCTTCCGGTCAGCCTGAGCGAGATAATCATGGCCTGCAGTTTTTGCCCACCCAAGGCGTGAAATGCTTAGGAGTCCCACCCTCTTCTCCCCTCCTTTCTAAGCGAACGCCTGGCCCTTCACTTCCCGAGGTGGGGAAACCTGTGGTGAGGCCACTACCGTGAGGCTGGAGTTGGCGCTCAAAGGGGAAGGGCGGTACTAGATGAGAGTGGGCTCCCTGCCTGGGGTATCTTAGGCCTCCGCGGGCGGGCGGATCATTCGCCCCACTTCTACAGAGCTGGAGTCTGGGGCAGCTCCATGCCAGATCGCCCTTCGGTGTCGCGGAGGGAAGTCAGAGCGGGGAGGGAGTCTGTGGGCAGACGGATCCCAGAGCGTGGGAGCTGGGTAGGGTTGGCCCCTGGCTCTGTGCCTCGGGACAAGTGGCGACCCCGCACCAGCTCACTTACCACCATCGGCCACTGCTGTTGGCAGCCAGGGCTGCGGGCAGAGCGGCCAGCGCCAGCAGCAGCGTAGCAGAAACCCAGCTAGGCAACAGCGCCCAGAGCCCCATGGCCTGCCTGACTTTGCCCGCTCTGTGCTGCAGTTGCGGCGACTTTGGCTGTTGCCCGCGACGATGGGACGGGACGCGGCGGTGGCGGCAGTGGCGAGAATTCGCAGTCTGGCTTTAACAACCCTGGGGGCGGGCGGCGGACAGCACGGCTCGCGGTCCCGGCTGGTGGGCTGAGGCGGCCACGGCGGGCGGCACCGCCTCTTATAGTTGCGGCGCTGGCTGAAGTGACGGGAGGAGGCTGCCCCGCCGGGCCGCACTGTGGCACCAGGGCGCACCGGTTAGGGGCGCAGACAATGGGCAGCGAGCGGGGCTGTGGTTCCCGCCCGTCTGAGCCGAGAGCTGGCGGGTTGGCCGTCGGGGCTCACCCCCGCCCCCTGCCCGGTGGCCCCCGCCTCCGGGCCTGCACTGGCCGCGGACCCCTCCCCTTGGGACACCCTCCCACGCGCGCTCGCCTCACTCAGCTGAGCGTCCGGAGCCCGTCGGGGACTAGCATCCGCCAGGGGGCGCGGCGAGAGTGTGCTGCGGGGAGAGCCCGCCAGGGGCCCAGCCCGCCTCGCCACCCGCGGTGGGGTTGTCCCCTCGACGTCACCCCGGGCCCCTCCGACGTCCCCTCTCTCCCCCGTCCTGACTGTCGGAAGGAAAGCTGTGGTTCTGGGCAGCGACTCCGGGGAGACGCTTAACCGCCCAGGAACCCCCGATGGCTGGACAGAGAAGGAAAAGGGGGAGACGGGGGCGTGAGGGCGGCTGTGGTCAGGGAAATCCCGGGGATGAGTTGTGGGGGTGAGCTGACCAAAAGGAGCCTAGCGGTGGAGAGAAACCTGAAGCAGCAGGCAGTTTGCTCATGTGGGCCAGAAGGAGCGGACAAGTGGCTCTGTGTGTGTGTGTGTGTGTGTGTGTGTGTGTGTGTGTGTGTGTGTGTGAAGTGGGACAACATGAATATGGGTGGGAGTGAGAATGTGCTGTGTTCTGAGGGTGCATCCTCTTGTGTGTTGGTACGTGCAGAAACTCCTTGTTCTGGTGAAGGATGTGAGGAAACTTTCCAAAGAATTTTGGAATTTCGCTCAAGTCAGAAAGGGTCATGCAGTCACCTTGTCACAGTCACCGCCTGGGGCAGTGTGTCAGGAAGGTGGTGGCGACGGTTGACAGGAGACTCAGAAGCATGATTGAGGGATGCAGAGTGTCTGGATTGTGTATGGAGTGGGTGGATGAGCGTGTGCATGGGATGATTAAATATGTGTGTATATGTCATTCTGTTGCCCTTTGTACCTCGTGGCATCCTATGGTGTGTCACACTGTGGTATGTGTCAACCAGTGCATGTCATTGAGAGACAGAGCCGAGCCTACAACCAAGATGGTATTGAGGTGAACCAAGCTTGGAGTGGCTAAGTCTCTGAGGCCTACGCTCAGAAAGGATGGGAAGTGGTGTGGATGTCCAATGTATGCATGGTGATGGAGAGGACTGGGAAGACAAGGGTTATTGCTGGCTGCATTGAACCTAGATTAGGAAACTTGTGCCTCCATGTGTTTGCTTCTCTTTGGATTTTTCTGCCATGTTTCTGTCTTCCCCCAAAGCTCTGGTTCCCACCATACTGGGATACCCAGAGTGCCTGTGACCATCTCATCCACTGTACATTTTTCTCTTCTCTCCCAGGGACTCCTACTCAGCTTCAAGGCCACTTTGGCCTCCTATTGAAGAAGTGACAGGCTGGGTGCTGTGGCTCATGCCTGTAATCCCAGCACTTTGGGAGGCCAAGGTCAGGAGATCGAGATCATCCTGGCCAACATAGTGAAATCTCATCTCTAATAAAAATACAAAAATTAGCTGGGTGTGGTGGCGTGCACCTGTAGTCCCAGCTACTCGGGAGGCTGAGGCAGGAGAATGGCTTGAACCCAGGAGGAAGAGATTGCAGTGAGGCGAGATCACACCATTGCACTCCAGTCTGGGCTACAGAGCGACTCCGTCTCAAAAAAAAAAAAAAAAAAAAAAAGAAGAAGTGGCTGCTTTTCCCTATATGGTGAATAGGGGGCACTGCCAGCCTGGTTATCATGCCCCACCACCACACACAGATGGCCCCTGGAAGGAGGGAAGATCTTTACATCTCTTCTTTCTCCTCATTTTGCAGAATTAAGAATAGATCAGGCAGTTATTCAAGGTCCACATCTAATAAATGAATCAATGGTAGAACCAGGTTAAAACCCAGACCAATTTGACTCAAAGCCCATGCTCTTTCGAACTTACCAGCTGCTTGCCAGTGTGCAGCAATTGCATGCTGGGAACCCGTCTCAAAATTGATAGGTTAAAATAATTTTTAGGGCCTTCCTGCCTCCCTTTTGAGTTCTAGCTCTCATTTTTTTTTTATCTCTCTTGTCTTTTAGGATACCTTCTGACTGAGAAATTTCCCCAGGCCTGAACCTAGAGTCTTAAGTCCCAGAAATGACAGGATTCTCTTCCAAGGCAGGGAAATCACTCTTAGGAATAAATGTCAGGTAAGTTTCATTAATATTCCTGGGCACTTGTGTTTTAAATGGAATGTATGTTAACCCAAATGAAGCCTGATGGAAGTTATTTTATAAAGAAATGTCCTTCTTTCCCTTTTTTCTTCCCCTTTGCCCAGCCTAGTATATCTGGCCCTTCCAAGGATCCACCCCTGAGGGAAAAGGTGTAGTGGTCCAGCGTCCTCCATAGATCCAAAAGCCAGTAGTCTCTGCAGAGAGGACTCAGCATAGATGACTCAAGTAAATGGACAATGTCCCATGGGGAGCCTGTCCTTTATCCCTTATGAGTTTCTTTCCACTGGGGCCTGGGTTACAGCTTTTGGCCTGGTGGATTGATAAAATTCCATGAGGGTGGGAGGCTGGCTGGAAGATATGGAAGCCCTGTCTTTGACCACTGGTGTCAAGCAGAGGTGGGAAGAGAGGAAAGGAGCCACTGTGCTTTGTTCCAACATTCCACCCACCAGGAGTAGGGGAGAAGAGGGTAAGGTCCCTAGATCTGGGTCACATTTGTTATGACCTGGCTCACATTTCTTTTTCTTTTCTTTTTTAAAATATGAAATGCTTCACAAATTTGCATGTCATCCTTGCGCAGGGGCCATGCTAATCTCTGTATCATTCCAATTTTAGTATATGTGCTGCCAAAACAAGCACCCAAATTTCTGTTTCTATCAAATAATCATGATATCAACTGTCCCCTCTTTCTTTCCTGCATCATCCACTTACCTCTCTCCTGGAACATACACATAAGCATGCAGACATGCTGCAATAGTACCCATCTGAAAAACCCAAAAACTTCATTAGACCCCACGTTACTGCCCAAGATTGCTCCATTTCAGTGCTCCATTTTACTGCAAAAATCAAAAGGGTTGATTTAATTACTAGAGCTGATATCTTTTCTTTTCTTTTCTTTTCTTTTTTTTTTTTTGAGACGAAGTTTTGCTCTTGTTGCGCAGACTGGAGTGCAGTGGTACGATCTCAGCTCACTGCAACCTCCGCTTTCTGGTTTCAAGCAATTCTCCTGCCTCAGCATACTGAGTAGCTGGGATTACAGGTGCCCACCAACACTCCCAGCTAATTTTTGTATTTTTAGTAGAGAGGGGATTTCACCATGTTGGCCAGGCTAGTCTCGAACTACCGACCTCATGATCTGCCCACCTCGGCCTCCCAAAGTGCTGGGATTACAGGCATAAGCCACTGCGCCCAGCCCAAACCATCTTTCCTAAAACAGAAGTCTGATTAATTCATTTGTCTGCTCAAAATTTTCCAATGAGTCCCCATCTCACTCAAAGTAAAGGCCAAAATCTTTACAGGGACCTCCTTCCTAGCCCTCCAGCTTCATTGCCTACCACTCTTTTCCTTGTGAATTCCTCCTCACCAGCCCCACTGGCCTCTTTTCTAATCCTTTGAACCAAGCATGCTCCTTTCTAAGGGTCTGTGCACCTGCTTTTCTGTCTTCTAAAATGCTCTTCCTCAGATCTCTCCATGCATTTGTTCCCTCGGTTTGTTTTCCCTCCCCCTTTATAAAATAGAATCCCACTACTAATCTCCTTTACTCTGCTTCATTTTTCTCTATATCAATTTTGACCATGGATGACTTTAAAGGCTTGAAGTTGAAAATCAGTAGCAAACCACCCCCCTGGAATAGGGGTAGAGGTGAGATGTTAGAGGGGAGAGGGGCTTTGCCTTGGCTTTGGGATCTGGGAGGAAGCAGGGCACCAGGGTTGAGAGTTTGTGGGCAGAGGAGCCTACCCTCCTTTGAAGCACCCGCAGGCAGCACTGCCCCATTGGACTAGGAAGGCATAGCCCATCCATTAGGCCTGAGTAGAGAAGGGGGCAAAAATTCTGTCTAAGGTAATCCCATGGATTTGTTGGGGTCGACTGCTGAAAGTGGGGCCTTCCTCAGAGTCCAGTATACAGTCGGCCCGCAGACCCTTTGGTGCCTCCAGGTGGTGGCCTACGGTGCTGCAGCAGAAGACGCATTAGGCAGAGGGTGGGCAGCGCAGCTGAGCTCACCGCCACGGGCGCATCCATCCCTCCTGGGCCTATAATTTGGGTTCCCCAGGCCTGGCCGCCCCTATCAGCGGCTCAGCAACAGATGAGTCACCCGGGACCCCGGGCCAAGGCAAACATGGGGGGAGGAGGAGGAGGAGGCTTCCGAGGCTTTAGCCACCGCCTCAGTTGCTCGACATCCCCCAATCTCCAGGGGCCCCCACTCTTTTCTTTGACCCCCGCCCTCCAGGGCCCCAGTGTTCTTCCCACATTGCTCTTGTTACACCCTCCATCCCTAGGATAGGAAGGGCAGCCCTCCACTCTTCTCATCGAGGGGAAGGGGAACCAGCTTGCTCCTAGATCCTCCCTGCAGTGATGAAAGCCCCCCACTTTCCCCCTCCTGTCATTGGCCCCGACCCACGTCAAGGTCTCTCTGGTTCCCGTCCCTCCCCTTTCTTGGAGCTGGCCGCGTGCTTGGGGTATTAGGCAATGGGTGTGCACCCGCAACCCTCTCCAGGCCCCGCCTGTCCCACCGCCCTCTAGCCGCCTGCGGGTCAGTGCTCAGGCCAGCCGGTCGGGCTGAGGGCACTGCGGGCCAGCTCAGGCCACCCAGTCTGCCGGCCTGTGGCCTCTTGTCCCAGAGTTGGGCTTCAGTAGAGAGAAGGAGCAGGACTCTGGGTCCATGGATTTGGAACAGTCCTGCTTGGGGAGACCTAGGGTCACCAGGAAGTTGAAACCTATTGTAGTAGTTCTGTCCCTTGCCCCTTCTTGGCACCTGACTGTATGCTGGAGCTTGACAAGGGTAGAATCAGAAGGCAAAAAATAATAATAATCCCAAACCTAAGGGGGACCCAGGAGACACATGGAGAAATACAAATGTCCATGAGGTCCCCATGGAGAAGAAAGGCTTAGGCAACCTCATTCCCCTCTTCCAAGGACCTGGCAGGAATCCCAGGCTGACTACAAGAAAAAAAATAAGGACACTGGTGGGGATCACGAATCCAGGTGTAAGGATGAAAACTATAAGATGGGACTTGCAGATTCTGGTGACCTCCAAAACCACACATGGTTTGGCTCTTGTCCTCTAAATGGGAAGGAGAGTCAGGAACTCTAGGGCTCCCTTTTCCCCATCCCAAAGGTAGGGAATCAGAGAAAAGCAGCCTGGTCCAGGATGTCCAGTGTCAGAGACCATGGCACTTTCACCTCCCCAGACTGCTCATCAACCTGGCACATAAAGGTGATCTGTAAATATCCCAACAGATGTAAGTTTGCTTGATCTCCTGTCTCAGACTGCTGTGCCCGCTATCCAACAGTGACCCCTGCAGCACGGGCAGGACCTCCAGCAGCACAGACTGGAGGCTGGCTGCCCAGCAGAGCTGCAATGCCACCACCAAGAAAGAGGTGACTGTGGTTGTGGGTATCATCCCTGTGCCTCTGCTTGCTGGGGGCAGTCTGAGTCAATGTGCTTGGGGCGCGTGGGGCCAGCCGTGCCTTGGGCTGCGGTCTGGCGGGGCGGGGGGCGGCTGGAAAGCCTGGGGCCCCTCTCTGGCAAAAATAGCCCGCAGTGGTTAGAGCTTCGAGGGTGAGTCAGGCGGGAGCACGGTGGCGCCTAACCCCTTCGCTGCCACTGGATCTTCCTAAGGCGGTTTGCCTTTGCCTATGCACCCCAAGACCAGGCTCTTTCCCGGCTGCCCTTAGGCTTGGCTCAATTTTGGATCCCAAGGCCCTCCTCATCCCACAAGAAGCAAGTCTACAGCTTGGAGCAGGAATCCAGGCCACCCAATGTGCAGACCGGGGGAATCCCGAGAAGGGTAGGATACCTCTGCTGGCAAGCATCCCTGCCAGGCAAGGAAGCATCGCGGCAGGCTGATGATCTTTGGTGCTACCTGAACCTCTGCTAGGGCCAAACTCTGAGGCCAAAGCTGACCCCTCCAAAGGGGCAGGCGCAGGGCTTGGAGGTGGGTGGGAACCAAGCTGCCCAGACCTGTGCTTCTCCTGCCCGCTCTGAGTACCCTAGGTGCGCTCAGGCTGTGGGTGCCACATGTGACTGTCCCACACCGAGAAGCCCAAAGACTGTCCGGCTCCATCCTCATCTTGTCAAAGGCACTTTCCAGCCACCCTGATCTTGGTGGAGAAACTGACTCAAAGAGAAGTGATGAAAGATGTGGCCACTTTGGTCCCGTTCTGGCTCCCTAGGAAGGTTACTACACCCTCCCTGCAGCCTTGGCGACCCCAGAGCAGGTGAGAGGAACTCTGGCCACCTCCTTCTTCAGTAGGGCCAAGCCTGAACCCAGGCGTCGGGGGAGAGGGGGCGTGTGTGTGTGTGTGTGTGTGTGTGTGTGTGTGTGTGTGAGAGAGAGAGTGCGCGCGCGCGCTGGGAGGAGGGGGAGCGGCTGCATTTGCCTGGTCAAGGCTGGGAGTGGAGAGTAGGGTGGGGAAGCCCCAGGCTTGGGGAGGGGCCGCAGCTCTGTCAGCCCGGCAGAGCCACCGTGAGCTCCGCGCCAGCAAAGCCAGAGCCCTCAGTCCTTTGCTCGCAGGCTTGCTAGCTCTCTGGATCACTCCCTCCCTTCCTCCCTCCCTTCCTCCCCGCGGCTGTGGCGGCGCTGGGGAAGCGGTGAAGAGGAGTGGCCCAGCCCTGGAAGAATGCGGCTCTGACAAGGGGACAGAACCCAACGCAGTCTCCCCACGGTTTAAGCAGCACTAGTGAAGCCCAGGCAACTCAACCGTGCCCGTCCCGGACCCCGCACCCAAACCACTGGAGGTAATTAGACCTGGGAAAGCAGGGAGGGCAGGGACGTGCACACAGGGAAGAGACAGGCACGTGTATAGTCAGACAGACAGACACGCATCCACCCACAGAAGCACAGAGACACAGAGAGCCAGAGATATTGCTAGCAATAAAGACAGAGAGAATAAAGGAGTGCCCCCAGATTTAGAAAGCAATGACTGTGAGAGCCAAGGGGTGAGGACCAGACGGGTGCCTATGGAGGAGGGGAGCTTGTAGTTAGGCAAGGTGGGGGATAGGGAAGAGGACTCAGTCTGCGCCACAGACCCTTTTAGGAGAGAGTCAGGCTCGCCTCCCCATCTTTCCTGCACCTGGAGCCTCTCCTCTTTCCTTGCTGCTCAGGGAGGAGGCAGTGTGGGTGGGGAACTCATTCTTGGACCTTTCTCATGGAGCCTGCTTGCCCTTGATGACACCTGGAGGTGACACCCCCTTAGGTGGTGGGGAACCTCCTCCCTATCCCTCTCTCTAGCCCTGTGAGGGCGGCGAAGCTAGTCGTGGGGCCCTGGAAAAGGGAGCAGTAGACGAGGTTGTGGAGTAAGTGTTTGTGAGTCTGTGTGTCTGAGTTTGTATGTGAGTGTGTGTCTGTGTGCTGGGCGTTGTGTCTGATTGGGCAGGGTTCCAGGGGTGCTCACTTGAGTCCTGAGCTGGGACAACTCCTGGACTCTTCTTCTTTAAGACCTCCAAGCCTCAGGGACTCTGGGAATCAAGGGGTGATTCTTCTTGTTTGAGGAGGAATGAGAAGGGTCAGTAGGGTGGCACCGGTGGTTTAGGAGCCCGAAGGAGGGCATCACTTGGTTCTCCAGGCGAGCCGCCCTATTCCTCAACCCGCATCAAGTCTTCCCGTCCCGCAGGTCCTGATCGATCTGCCCACCGGAGCCTCCGGGCTTCGACATGCTGGAGGAGCCCCGGCCGCGGCCTCCGCCCTCGGGCCTCGCGGGTCTCCTGTTCCTGGCGTTGTGCAGTCGGTGAGCAGTTCGCCTTGTCTCCCAGGCCCCAGAAGCACCGACCAGGGGTGGGGAGAGTTGGAGGGGTCTGGACCGCAGACCCCAGACGCCTTCTTGGTTCCCAGGGCTCTAAGCAATGAGATTCTGGGCCTGAAGTTGCCTGGCGAGCCGCCGCTGACCGCCAACACCGTGTGCTTGACGCTGTCCGGCCTGAGCAAGCGGCAGCTAGGCCTGTGCCTGCGCAACCCCGACGTGACGGCGTCGGCGCTTCAGGGTCTGCACATCGCGGTCCACGAGTGTCAGCACCAGCTGCGCGACCAGCGCTGGAACTGCTCAGCGCTCGAGGGCGGTGGCCGCCTGCCGCACCACAGCGCCATCCTCAAGCGCGGTGAGCCTGGCTGGGCGGGTAGGCGCTGCCGCCGAGGCTAGAGGGTGGGGGGCGGACCGAGGCGCGCGGAGGCGGGAAGGAACGGGTTTGCTGCTTCGGGAGGGGCCTCTCCTGGAATTCCCCCCTCCCCCCTCAGACCCGCTCTGAGCCAGGTCTGGCCACTCGTCTGGGGCCCTGTGCGCCTAACTTCCACCTGCGTGCTGCCGGCGAGGCAGCTGGGTCCCTGCTCTCCTACCCTAGGGCCCCCCTTTCCTGCCTCCGCCTAGCTTAATCTGGGTTGCACCTGTGAGCAAGAGATGCCCCCAGTCCTGGAAGCTTCAAACGGCCCCCTATTCCCTCTCCTATTTTCTCTCCCCCCATCTTGGCTGGACAAGCCCAGGCTGGTGTCCCCAGTGTCTCAGCGGGGGTGGAGTGACGCCCCCAACCGTTTAAGGGTTAAATCTGCTCCCCTAATTGCTGGGGTTCCCAGGAGCCAAAGCTGGGAACAAAGACCCTGATGACTTTGAAGCTGGGGAGCCAGTCCCCTCCTCTGTGCTGTGGGGGCTCCAGGTGTTGCTCACCTGAGCAGGTGAAGAACGGCTGGAGAGGCAGAGAACAGGTCACTGCTGGCCTGGTCTGGGAGGCATGGCTGCCTCTCCCCATTCCCTGCTGGAGTTCACTCCCTGAGGTGTAAAGACCCATGGGGGCTCAGCCCAGAGATGGGGGCAGTGCTCTGGGGACTATGGGGTTAATAGGCAGCTGCCATCTGCAGGGGAATTCCCAAGACTTGTGCAAACAGCTTCACCCCTGGAGGGTTGGAGTTGGGGGATCAGAAGGCTGGCCCAGGAGCCCTGGATCCTGGGGTAGGAGAGGCCTGGTCTCTAAGAGGGTGCTGTCTCTCATCTTCTCAGGGCTCCGGAGAGCCCCTGCCTAAAATGAAGTGAGGGTCCCCCTCCTTCCCCACAGGGCCTGGTGTAGGGCAAGGCTTGGACACCTAAATGGTAAGCATGTTTATTTAAGTCTGGGAAAGGCTTGGCATCCTGAGCTTCTGTGACCCCCAAAACATAACAAAGAAGCCAACCTTTTAAGAGGGCCTTAGGGAAAATCACTCCCCCACCTCTCTCCTCCTCTCAGTGTTTTATAGGGTAATAGCAGGTTAGGATAAACATTAAAAGGGCAGTCTTGAAGGGCAAATATAAAACTACATCCTGGGAAGCGGAAGGGCAGCTCCATAGCTCCAGTGCTTTGGGGGTGCTAGGGTAGTGGAAGGTAGGTTGGTTAAAAGACTGACTAACCCTGAAGTGAAATTAAAAAAAAAAAAAAAAAACAGAACCACAAAGGCTCTGCTGCTACCTCACCCAAGCTCCCTGCAGGGTTGGGGGAATTTCTAAGGCTTTCAGATGTAGAACTCGGTTGTACACATCTTCAAAGACCTCAGGGACTCCCTCTTAGTCATCTCCCAACTCCTCTGGGCTAGCTCTTTCATCTACACCTGAAAATCACCGACTTACAGAATGAGAATGGGCCTCAGAGATCATCTTGACCCATCGTCTCCCACCTCCCTTTAGAAATGAAGAAGTTGAGGCTCTGTGCTTTCTGTACCCTTCCTTGTCCCATGACTTTCCTCCAAATCACTCAGCTGGTAAATGGCAGGGTCAGGATTCAGTTAGGAATTTCTGGAGTTGGAGGGGGGCTGTTTATTTCTTTCTGCCTCCACACTCTCATCTGCCTGTCAACCTTACCTCCACCATCACAACCTTCTCATCCCCAGGTTTCCGAGAAAGTGCTTTTTCCTTCTCCATGCTGGCTGCTGGGGTCATGCACGCAGTAGCCACTGCCTGCAGCCTGGGCAAGCTGGTGAGCTGTGGCTGTGGCTGGAAGGGCAGTGGTGAGCAGGATCGGCTGAGGGCCAAACTGCTGCAGCTGCAGGCACTGTCCCGAGGCAAGAGTTTCCCCCACTCTCTGCCCAGCCCTGGCCCTGGCTCAGGCTCCAGCCCTGGCCCCCAGGACACATGGGAATGGGGTGGCTGTAACCATGACATGGACTTTGGAGAGAAGTTCTCTCGGGATTTCTTGGATTCCAGGGAAGCTCCCCGGGACATCCAGGCACGAATGCGAATCCACAACAACAGGGTAGGGCGCCAGGTATGTGTGTACATCTTGTCCTGGGTCTCCCCAGCTTTTGAGGCCTGGTTAGAGTTTGAGAGGCACAGGGGAATAATAGGATAAAGTGTGATGAGTGACTGACACCATCAGCAAGTCACCCAGCCTCAGTTTTATATCTGTAAAGAACCTAATGATACTTACCTTACAATGTTATTAAGACTGAGCTAGCAGGCCAGTGTGGTGGCTCACGCCTATAATTTCAGCACTTTTGGAGGCTGAGGGGGGAGGATTGCTTGAGGCCAGGAGTTCAAGAACAGCCTGAGCAATGTAGTTAGACCCCATCTCTATATTTTAAAAAATTATATATAAAAACAGACTGGGCCGGGCGCGGTGGCTCATGCCTGTAATCCCAGCACTTTGGGAGGCTGAGGTGGGCAGATCACCTGAGGTCAAGAGTTCAAGACCACCCTGGCCAAGGTGGAGAAACCCAATCTCTAATAAAGTACAAAAATTAGGCGGGGTGCGGTGGCTCACGCCTGTAATCCCAGCACTTTGGGAGGCTGAGGCGGGCAGATCACGAGGTCAGGAGATCGAGACCATCCTGGCTAACACGGGAAACCTCGAAAATACAAAAAATTAGCCGGGCATGGTGGCATGTGCCTGTAGTCCCAGCTACTGGGGAGACTGAAGCAGGAGAATTGCTTGAACCCGGGAGGCGGAGGTTGCAGTGAGCCTAGCTTGTGCCACTGCACTCCAGCCTGGGCGACAGAGCGAGACTCCATCTCAAAAAAAAAAAAAAAAAAAGGGCCAAAACTTAGCCAGGCATGGTGGCCGGCACCTGTAATCCCAGCTACTCAGGAGGCTGGGAGGCGGAGGTTGCAGTGAGCCGAGATGGCTGCACTTCAGCCTGGGCGACGAGAGCAAGGCTCCATCTCAAAAAACAAAAACAAACAAACAAAAAACCAGACTGATCTAGCAAATGATATACCCAGCATAGTGCCTCATCCTTGGCTCACTATATAGTAGCTGTTATTACAGCTGCCTTCCCTACAGAATTTAGGCGTGCTGTGGGCCAGACTCCCAATTTTATAAGTGCTTACAATGGAAAGAGCACTGGATTGGGTGTCAGGACAACTAGAGTTGAGTCTTGGCTCTATTACCAGCTGTTGATGGAAGACGGACAAATCACACCGCTCTAGCCTCAATTCTGTCATCATAAAATGAGGGAGTTGGCTATTAGTTAACTGCAATGTCCTCTCTATTCTGATATGCCACGTTATTCTTGCCTCCATTTGTCCCTCTCTGTGTTCTCTGTTCCCTTCCCTCTGCTGTGCCTCTGTGTTCTGTCCATTTGCTGCCCTCCGCTTCACCTCTTCTCTCCCTGATGCTCTAGGTGGTAACTGAAAACCTGAAGCGGAAATGCAAGTGTCATGGCACGTCAGGCAGCTGCCAGTTCAAGACATGCTGGAGGGCGGCCCCAGAGTTCCGGGCAGTGGGGGCGGCGTTGAGGGAGCGGCTGGGCCGGGCCATCTTCATCGATACCCACAACCGCAATTCTGGAGCCTTCCAGCCCCGTCTGCGTCCCCGTCGCCTCTCAGGAGAGCTGGTCTACTTTGAGAAGTCTCCTGACTTCTGTGAGCGAGACCCCACTATGGGCTCCCCAGGGACAAGGGGCCGGGCCTGCAACAAGACCAGCCACCTGTTGGATGGCTGTGGCAGCCTGTGCTGTGGCCGTGGGCACAACGTGCTCCGGCAGACACGAGTTGAGCGCTGCCATTGCCGCTTCCACTGGTGCTGCTATGTGCTGTGTGATGAGTGCAAGGTTACACAGTGGGTCAATGTGTGTAAGTGAGGGTCAGCCTCACCTTGCGGCTGGGGAAGAGGACTGTGTGAGAGGGGCACCTTTTCAGCCCTTTGCCCTGATTTCCTTCCAAGGTCAATCTTGGTCCCTGGAAGCTTAAATATCTACCTGGAAACAGCTTTAGGGGTGGTGGGGGTCAGGTGGACTCTGGGATGTGTAGCCTTCTCCCCAACAATTGGAGGGTCTTGAGGGGAAGCTGCCACCCCTCTTCTGCTCCTTAGACACCTGAATGGTCTAAGATGAAATGCACTGTATTGCTCCTCCCACTTCTCAACTTCAGAGCCCCTTTAACCCTGATTCATACTCCTTTTGGCTGGGGACTCCCTATAGTTTCACCACTCCTCTCCCTTGGATAACCCCAGGCACTGTTTGGAGCCATAAGATCTGTATCTAGAAAGAGATCACCCATTCATGTGTACTATCCCCAAACTCTACTGCAGCCTGGGCTCCCTCTTGTGGGATAATGGGAGACAGTGGTAGAGAGGTTTTTCTTGGGAAGGGGACAGAGTGCTGAGGGGCACTCTCCCCTGAATCCTCAGAGTTGTCTGTCCAGGCCCTTAGGGAAGTTGTCTCCTTCCATTCAGATGTTAATGGGGACCCTCCAAAGGAAGGGGTTTTCCCATGACTCTTGGAGCCTCTTTTTCCTTCTTCAGCAGGAAGGGTGGGAATGGATAATTTATTATACTGAGACTTGTTCTTGGTTCCTGTTTGAAACGAAAATAAATTAAGTTACCGGACTGGATGCAGATGGTGATGTATGTACCCACACTTGGGATCCCAGTCCATAGCTTCTTTTCTAGGTTAATTCTCCTACCTTCCTACACTCAATGACTTTATGTATATCCTGCTGAGTTCCACAAAGGATTTGAAATGAATCTCAGTGACTTTGTTGGCAACTTTTCCTTTGTAAAACCAGGAAGGACTCCTAGGTGGGAAGGGCTACAGTTCCAGATGTAGGCCCTATTGACTCTCTATGTGCCTCAGCTCCAGATTTCACCTTGATCACTGCCTTAGAACAAGGGCTGGCATTTTTTTTTTGTTTTTTACTGTAAAGGGTTAGATAGTAAATACATTACACTTGTGATCTTTGTCCCAACTATTCAACTCTGCCACAATTACTGTTATAGATCAACAGCAGCCATAGACCACACATAAATGAATGAGCATGGCCGTGTCCCAAAAACTTCATTCACAGAAAGGGGCTGCAAGACCAAATTTGGTCCCCTAGCTGCAGTTCGTTGACCCTTGTTCTAGACCACGAGTTCGTTCTGGAGTTTTTCAGTCCTAAATGTATCTCGACACTGAACTTCGACCCAAAAGAACAGGTACTTTTTTCTCTGGTTCCAAAGGAGTGAACTTGGGATATAGATGCAAGACTGATGGGAAATGTATAAAAGAGATTTATATGCTTGAAATGGGAGTTTTCCCCTCTGGAAAGTAGCAAAACTTGGAGTTGCCTTCGTTCTGGAGTTTTTCAGTCCTAAATGTATCTCGACACTGAACTTTGACCCAAAAGAACAGGTACTTTTTTCTCTGGTTCCAAAGGAGTGAACTTGGGATATAGATGCAAGACTGATGGGAAATGTATAAAAGAGATTTATATGCTTGAAATGGGAGTTTTCCCCTCTGGAAAGTAGCAAAACCAGCCATGTTCTCTCATGGAATTATCTGCAATTTTTTTTTTTTTTGTCCTTATTTATTTGATTGAGACAGGGTCTCACTTTGTTACCCAGGATGGAGTGCAATGGTGCGATCTTGGCTCACTGCAACCTCCTCCTCCTGGGTTCAAGCGATCCTTGTGCCTCAGTCTCCCGAGTAGCTGGGATTACAGGTATGCATTACCATACATGGTAATGTATGGTAAGTTTTGTATTTTTAGTAGAGATGGGTTTTCGCCATGTTGGTTGGCCAGGCTGGTCTCAAACTCCTTGCCTCAAGTGATCCACACGCCTTCGCCTCCCAAAGTGCTGGGATTACAGGCATGAACCACTGTGCCCGGCCTATTTATTATTATTTTTTTGAGACAGGATCTTGCTCTGTTGCCTTGGCTGGAGTGCAGTAACGTGATCTTGGCTCACTGCAAACTCCACTTCTTGGGCTCAAGCAATCCTTCCACCTCAGCCTCCCAAGTATCTGGGACTACAGACACACGCCACCATGCCTGGCTAATTTTGTGTGTGTGTGTGTATTTTTTTGTAGAGATAGGGTTTCACCATGTTGCCCAGGCTGGTCTTGAACTCCTGACCTTAAGCGATCTGCCCATCTCAGCCTCCCATGACCTTCCTCATTTACAGCTCTTTTGTATTTCATCTTAGTAAAATAATTCCTTTATCTTTTAAGAGATAACCTCAACTAAACGGAAAAGGATTTATTTTTATTTATTTATTTATTTATTTTTGAGATGGAGTTTCACTCTTGTTGCCTAGGCTGGAGTGCAATGATGCAATCTTGGCTCACTGCAACTTCCACCTATCTGGTTCAAGCGATTCTCCTGCCTCACCCTCCCAAGTAGCTGGGACTACAGATGCGTGCCACCACACCTGGCTAATTTTTCTATTTTTAGTAGAGATTGTGTTTCACCATGTTGGCCAGGCTGGTCTCAAACTCCTGACCTCAGGTGATCCGCCTGCCTCAGTCTCCCAAAGTTCTAGGATTACAGGCATGAGCCACTGTGCCTGGCCCTAGCCCAACATCTTTGAAAACAAACTGTTATCGGGCCGGGCACAGTGGCTCACGCCTGTAATCCCAGCACTTTGGGAGGCCGAGGCAGGTGGATCAGGAGGTCAGGAGATCAAGACCATCCTGGCTAACACGGTGAAACCCTGTCTCTACTAAAAATACACACAAAAAATTAGCTGGGCGTGGTGGCGGGCGCCTGTGGTCCCAGCTACTCGGGAGGCTGAGGCAGGAGAATGGTGTGAACCCAGGAGGCGGAGCTTGCAATGGGCCAAGGTCGCGCCACTGCACTCCAGCCTGGGTGACAGAGCGAGATTCCATCTCACAAAATAAATAAATAAATAAATAAATAAACTGTTATCTTTCTTTCTTTCTTTTTTTCAGATGGTGTCTTGCTCTGTCTTCCAGGCTGAGTGTAATAGCTCAATCTCGGCTCACTGCAACTTCTGCCTCCCAGGTTCAAGCGATTCTCAGCCTCCTGAGTAGCTGGGATTACAGCTGCCGGCCACCACACCGAGCTAATTTTTGTATTGTTTAGTAGAGACAGGGTTTTGCCATGTTGGCCAGGCTGGTCTCAAACTCCTGACCTCAGGTGATCCATCCGCCTTGGCCTCCCAAAGTGCTGGGATTACAGGCGTCAACCACCAAGCCTGGCCTAAACTGTTATCTTTCTAAGATTCAATGCAGAAAAGGAATATGCATCACACATTTAGAACTTCACAAATGACTGTACACTTTATGCGGCTGCCAGATGCTGACTCTAACAGGTTGTTTCTTTGGCCAGAGAATGTAGAAATAGTTCTCTCCACTTCTCTAGACAACAGACACTTCTGCTATCCAAAGTACCCTCAAAATCAGATGAAATGAGAGTAGCACCAAGGTAGTGAGGACATTGAGGAGTATTAGGTTAGGGCAGTACTTTTTTTTTTTTTTTTTTTTGAGACAGGGTCTTAGGGTCTCTCTCTGTCACCCAGGCTGGAGTGCAGTAGCATGATCTTGGCTTACTGCAACCTCCACCTCCTGGGCTCAACCGATCCTCTTGCCTCAACCTTCTGAGTAGCTGGGAATATAGGCATGCACCACCAGGCCCAGATAATGTTTGTATTTTTATTAGAGATGGGGTTTCGCTATATCGTCCAGGCTGGTCTTGAACTCCTGGACTCAAGCTATCAGCCCTCCTCTGCCTCCTAAAGTGCTGGGATTACAGGTGTGAGCCACTGTACCTGGCCGACAGTTTTGTTTGTTTTTCGTCTTGTTTTTAAGAGATAAGAGTCTTGCTATGTTGCCCAGGCTGGTCTCAAGCTCTTGGACCCAAGCAATCCTCTTGCCTTGGTCTCCCAAAGTATTGGGATTACAGGTGTGAGCCAATGTGTTCAGCCAGTACTTCTTTTTAAATTTAGAGTCAGTGTCTTGCTCTGTTACTCAGGCTGGAATGCAGTGGCAAGATCACTGCAGCCCTGAACTCCTTGACTCAAGTGATCTTCCAGCCTCAGCCTCTCAGAGTGTTGGGATTTACAGGCTTCAGTCACCACACTGGGCTCTAGGGCAGAACTTTATGGCCAAATTTTATGTCCTGGATTTCCACTTGAGCATTGAGAATTCTGGGTTTGGAAATTTGATGGAGACATAAGAAATCCCATCCTTACTTCAGGCACTTACTGAACCTAGTGTGTGTGGAAGGAAGAGGGGATGCACTTAGAATGGGCATAGGATATAAGAGAATAATGATAAAGAATATTTATACTCAGAATTTCTCACACTCAGGACGAGAAAGGAGAATCTCTAACAGAGTCACAGCATGATTATTTCAGCTTTTTCCTGTTTCCTTCCTTTGTACTTTGGGTCCTTCTTTCCTTTCTAGCATTCCCTCTTCTTTCATCAGATACACACTGTGGCAGACTTAAGCCCCAAACCACAGCCTTGACAAATTCCAAATGGATTTTGTCAGCAAGGCCAACACACTCCTTGGCCACTTCCTAGCCCTGCTCCTAGCACATGCGCTGGGCTCAGACCCAGGCCTGGGGTCAGTGACAGGGTTGGAGTATGCAACCCACAGAGTTGGTGGCTACAATTTCAGCTTTTACTAAGCTCCAATGGCAGCCAGAGGGAGGGAGAAAGGTTGATGAACTGTAAGGCGGGCCTCTTGTCCCTCTTCAGCTCTAGATGAGTTCTACTCCTGCTGGCCTTTACCAAGTGGTTGGGAAGTTGCAGGGGGCAGTGGCCAGCTAATTGCCAGCTGGGCAGCACTCCTCCTATCTCTGCTCCTGTTTGCTCCATGGGCAGCCCACTCTGATGCTGCAACAGACACTTTCTTCTTCAGACTCCAGACAGGTGAAGGACAGAAGTGCTGGGAGATTCTCTAGTTCCATTAATCAGTCCTGACTAACATACCATGGTACCTGCTGCTTACTACATTAGACTGTCACCATTTCCATCCTTCTGTTGCACTGGGGATACAACCTTGAGAAGATCTGAAGCACTGGGCAGGAATATCAACAGGTTCCACCTCCTTGTCCGAGTTCCACAAGGCATGTGCATGTGGTAAGGGCACTAGGGAGGTTTTATAAAGCATAGTTTTGGTGGACAGTGTGGTGGGATAACCTGGTTGAGTGTTACTAGAAATTTCTAGAGAAAGAAATGCAAGAGTAATCACATGGAAATATCAAAAGACCCACTCTAGGAGTAATAATACTGGAGGAAGATCCTTTGTAGTTCATAAGCATAATGACTGGGTGTTCACACACACGTGAGATGTGCCACCCTCAAACCTTGTTACATTGGCACACTATCCATTTGACATAAACAACAACAACAAAATACTGGAGGTGTCTTTTGCCCTTAAAAACACAGAGCTGGGCTAAGCGCAGTGGCTCATGCCTATAATCCTAGCACTTTGGGAGGCCTAGATAGGAGGACTGCTTGAGCTCATGAGTTTGGCCTGGGCAACATGGCAAAACCTGTCTCTACAAATAGCATAAAAATTAGCTGGGTGACTGGGCATGGTGGCTCACACCTGTAATCCCAGCACTTTGGGAGGCCAAGGCGGGTGGATCACCTGAGGTCAGGAGTTCAAGACCAGCCTGACCAACATAGTGAAACCCTGTCTCTACTAAAATATAAAAATTAGCCGGGCGTGGTGGCACATGCCTGCAATCCCAGCTACTTGGGAGGCTAAGACAGGAGAGTTGCCTGAACCCAGGAGGCAAGGGTTGCGGTGAGCTAAGATTGTGCCACCGCACTCCAGCCTGGGCAACAAGAGCGAAACTGTCTCAAAAAAAAAAAAAAATTAGCCAGGCATGGTGGCGTGCACCTGTAGTCCTAGCTACTTGGGAGGCTGAGGTGGTAAGGATCATTTGAGCCCAGGAGGTTGAAGCTGCAGTGAGCCGACTGCGCCACTGCACTCCAGCCTCAGCAACACAGCAAGACCCAATTTCTTTTTTTTTTTGAGATGGAGTCTCACTCTGTTGCCCAGGCTGGAGTGCCGTGGCGCGATCTCGGCTCACCGCAAGCTCCACTTCCCGGGTTCACGCCATTCTCCTGCCTCAGCTTCCTGAGTAGCTGGGATTACAAGCGCCCACCACCACGCCTGCCTAATTTTTTGTATTTTTAGTAGAGACGGGGTTTCACCGTGTTAGCAAGGATGGTCTCGATCTCCTGACCTTGTGATCCACCTGCCTCGGCCTCCCAAAGTGCTGGGATTACAGGCTTGAGCTACCCCACCTGGCCAAGACCCAGTTTCAAAAACAGAAAAAAAAAAAAAGAAAAAAAAAAGAAAAAACAAACAAACAAAACCACCAACAAAAACCCACACCACAGAACTGCCCAGCACAGTGGCACATGTCTATAGTCCCAGCTATTCAGGAGGCTGAGAAGGAGGATCACTTGAACCCAGGAATTCAAGACTGTAGTGTGCTATGATCGCTCCTGCGAATAGCCACTGCACTCCAGCCTGGGCAACATAGTGAGACCCTGCATCTTAAAAAAACACAGAGATGTGGCTCACGCCTATGATCCCAGCACTTTGGGAGGCCGAGGTGGGTGGATCACGAGGTCAGGAGATGAAGACCATCCTGGCTAACACAGTGAAACCCTGTCTCTACTAAAAATACAAAAACGTGGCCGGGCATGGTGGCACACACGTGTAGTCCCAGTTACTCGGGAGGCTGAGGCAGGAGAATCGCTTGAATCTGGGAGGCAGAGGTTGCAGTGAGCCAAGACTGTGCCACTGCACTCCAGCCTGGGTGATAGAGTGAGACTCTATCTCAAAAAAACACAACAAAACAAAACAAAAAACCCCCACAGAGATTAGCAGAGCAACGGCCCTTAACAGCAGTGCCCAGGACATATAATTCCTTGTTATAAACAGGTTCCTTGTTATGCATCTCATCCCTTACCATCTTAAATTAAGGTCCCCTTGGCTTGACATTCTAGGGTCATGTTATCAGGTTAACATAAGAGAGAAAACAGACTGAGTTAAGGGACTGGTAAGTGCATACACCAGGGATTGATGAGGACAAGGAGATCGATGTATATGGCATCTACCAGCTTTTTTTGTTGTTGTTTTTTTGAGACAGAGTCTTGCTCTGTCACCTAGGCTGGAGTGCAGTGGTATGATCCCGGCTCACTGCAACCTCCGCCTCCCAGGTTCAAGTGACTCTCTGGCCTCAGTGCAAGTAGCTGGGATTACAGGTGTGTGCCACCATGCCCAGCTAATTTTTGTATTTTCTGGTAGAGACAGGGTTTCACCACATTGGCCAGGATGGTCTCAAACTCCTGACTTTAAGTGATCTGCCCACTTCAGTCTGCCAAAGTGCTGGGATTACAAGTGTGAACACAGGGCCTGCCCCAGCTTAGTTCTTCTTGGAAGCAAGAAAACAAACAAACAAAACCAACCAAGGCAATAAATTCGTAAGAGCAACAATTTTGGCTCAAGCCTTAGGGAAGAGCCATGTGTTCGTTCTCTTATACTGTTGTAAATGAGAAGAGAGGGCACTTAGAGAACCTTCTATTGGCCGGGCGCGGTGGCTCACGCCTGTAATCTCACCTACTCAGGAGGCTGAGGCAGGAGAATCGCTTGAACCCAGGAGGCAGAGGTTGCAGTGAGCCGAGATGGTGCCATTGCACTCCAGCCTGGGCGACAGAGCGAGATTCCGTCTCAAAAAAAAAAAAAAGGAATCTTCTGTCCTTAGCATTATTAGTGCCCTTCTATCACAGCTATGATAGTTTCAAGGCAGTTCTGCATATCTAGAGGTGCAAAACGGAGTGTGAGGGAAGTAGGGGTAGGTAGGAAGCAAGAAATACGGGTGCAAAGTCCTTCACCTTTCCTTGGGATACTAAAATCCCTACTCATCTAGGCACACTTCCTCAAACCACACTTCTGAATATTAGGCTTCTACTCTCCGTCTTTCAAGTTCCAACTTCTTTTTTTTTTTTTTTTTTTTTTTTTTGAGACGGAGTCTCGCTTTGTAGCCCAGGCTGGAGTGCAGTGGCCGGATCTCAGCTCACTGCAAGCTCCGCCTCCCGGGTTCACGCCATTCTCCGGCCTCAGCCTCCCGAGTAGCTGGGACTACAGGCGCCCGCCACCTCGCCCGGCTAGTTTTTTTTTTTGTATTTCTTAACTGGCCCAGAGTCCAGCTGTTTTCCTTCAGCCTCTTAAGTTTATCACTCTCCTTCCTCTTCCTTATGGGAAAGGATCTCTTGATTCAGACCCCAGAGAAATCTAGTCTCAGGAATAGTGAGCAACAGCAATGGTGCAGTGAGGGATCTCAGGGGATTGCAGTTAGCCCAGATTAAGAAATAAAGATGGTCTGCCTGGGTAAGGCAGACCACAGAAACGACTGTTCGTTCACCCATATCCCGATGCTGCCTTTACCCGAGGAGCCCCTGGGCCCCTCAGCCCAGCCCGTCTCCAACGCAGCCAACTTGCCGCCTCAGTCCTTAAATTCCAGGCACAACCCAGGAGCTTGGGATTCTCACCTCAGTCCTCACTGTCTCATCCCCATTCCCGGCTCCCGCCTCCGCCGCCCACAGCCCCCACATCGGCCTCCGCCCAGACTCCAGCTCCAGCGCCCGGCTGCCTGTGCTGCAGCCGCTGCCATGGTGATGGGTCTCGCGAGAACTGCCGCTTGCTACCGCGCAGCTCTCGCGCGATCGGGGAGGTGGGAAGTATCCCGGGCTGGGGGTGGGGGTACGCCGCACAGCTCCAGTAGCCGTCGCGGCTTCCGGTGCTAGGTGGAGGGAAGGAAGGAGGGAGCTGGGGAGCGGGCCAGGGCAGCGGCCGGGCTGAAGTCGGCTTGGGGAGCCGGAGGGAGCGGAGCGGAACCTGCGGGGCGGAGGCGGCGGCCGCAGCGGCGCAGCTGATAGCAGGAACAGGTGAGAGGCTGGGAAGGGAAGGCGGGTCCTGGTAGAGAAGAGGCTTGGTCGGGGTGAGGGCTGAGGAGATAGAGCGCCTCCCGGGCCCCGCCCGGCACTGCTTGGCTTGGGGCGGTGGTATCCTTCCCACCCGAAAACTCAAAGAGGGGGCGTCTGGCCAGCTTTACGCCTGCCCCCGCATTTGAAGGACGCGGAACTGGGGTGGGGGTGGGGGGCGCACACGGATTTGTCCTCCGCCTCGCACAAGGGGGCGACCTGGGCTGCAGTTAGGTTGTCGCCTGCAGGAGGTGGGCTGTTGAGGGGGAGGAAAACCGTCCGAAGAGAGGTAATGCGGGGGCGGTGATGGCTGTTTGTATCTTTTCTGTTAAAGGGCTAGGGAATGCTGCTTTCTTCTACTCCCTCTCCCTCCCCCACCTTAGCAATAGGAGACCAGAGAGAAGCCTTGCTGTGGTTACACCCCCTCCCCCATCATAGGGCAGGGGTGCGTAGGGGGGTTGGGGGTTAGCCAACAGGGCAGGCTGCTGGTGTACCACATGGGCGCTATTCTGATAGAGGTTGCGCTTTGGAGTCTAGGGAACCGCAGGTTGGGAAGAGGGCAGCAGGTGGGGAGAGGGTGGAGAGGAGGCAGGAGAAGGGGGAGGGGGATCTGATCTTCCTGGGAGAAGAGAGGTGGGGCCTTCCTCCCCAGGCGGAGCGGGGGCGGTCTCACAGGAGGAGGGAGCATCTTGTCACTGGCCCTGAGTTTGTGTCTTCCAATCCGCTTGCTTTCTTTAGGAAGTACCAGGATTCCCGGAACAGAAAATGGAGCCCTGGCTTACGCGAATCGTTTGAGGGGAGGAGGGGGAGTTGGGGAGGTGGAGTTCCTGTTAAAACGGGCCACTTGATTAGCTAGGTGGTAGCTGTTATTTTTGGGGAATTCCCTTCTTGATTGCATTAAGGCGGGTCTACATCTTTCCAGGCCAGGAGGAATGTGGTGGTGGAGGTGGAGGATTGTGGTATGTGATCAGGAGTGAGAAGAAATAGTAAGGCCATCCTGGTGAGGGAGAAATGTAACCTAAAACCTGTCTCTGCTGTTGTTGGATTGGGTCACCCCTGGTCTATGGCATGAAAGTTTTATTGGGAGATGTGCTGCAAGAGTCTGATTGCTTGGGTCAGTGCAACAGGACAGAATCTAGTCGCTGCATGCCTCCTTGCCTGTCCTCAATCAGGTACGTAGTAACAGTCTTTGCTGCCATTTTGTCTTGGGCTTCTTGTTGGGTTAGGTGTCTTCACTTGCCATGACTTGGGACTTGGGACAGTGTTATGGGACAGTGGATTATCATAGCCCATTGGACTTGAGTTTGAAAAACATGTCTATAAAAGTTCATTCTAAGAAAAAAACTAATCCATTAAGGTTCAGCTTTTCACAGAATGAATGATTGACCTTGGAAGGGCTCCCATGTATCACATATTCACATGCGTCTTGTTTCCCAGCATGGAATTATTACCTTGCATAGTTAGAAGTTTTATAGTTGTCTATCTTGCTTTTCCAAAGAGACTAGAAGCTTTTTGACTGCAGGAACTGGATTTCATCTCCTCTTCCACAATGCCCATGCAAACGTTTAGTAGGTACCCATGATGAACTTAGAATGTATTCACATAGAATGTGAATGGATAGCTTTCTAACTGTAGTTTAAGGAAAGGGCAAGAGATGGCTTGGCTGTCAGCAGAAGTGCCTGGAGATAGCTTAGCAAGGGTACAAAGACCCTTAGCCTTTGTAATTAAGAAGTTTTGGTGTCTCTGCCTTCCTAAGAGGCACAGAATAGGCATAGATAATGGAAACTAAGACCCAAAAAGAGAAATATTACTAGAACACAGAGTCATTATCTGCAGTCCCAGATTTCCTGCTTCCCCATTGTGGGAAAAGGGGTCTCTCCATCAGACCTAAGTCTTTCAAAGTGTTATATATGAATTGGGATCCTGGAGTTTGGAAGAGGGACCAATGTATGTATGTATATGTGTGGTGTCTGGCACAGAATTGGTACCAGTGAATGGTAGCTGCTATTGTACTGAATGCAAGTATAAAAGGAGAGCACACAGCAGACTGGAAAGAGTGGAAGTGAGTGAAATCGCACAAAGAGTCATATTGTAGCATGTGTTCATCCACACTACTCTTTTACACTAGAGTCATAATAAGAGGAAGTGGACTCAGGATGGAGGGTGGGATTTATTGGTTAGAAGGAGGAACTTTAAAACCAGGTCAGTTAAAGCTGACTATGTAACCGAAGGAAATTGTAGAATCTGCTTCCCTATATACCTTTATTTTTATCCAGCCAGGCTGGAGAGTAGTGATGTGATCATAACTCATTGCAGCCTCAAGCTGGGCTCAAGCCATCCTGCACTTCAGCTTCCCAAGTAGCTGGGACCACATGCGAGCACCACCATGCCCAGCGAATTTTTTTTACTTTTTGTAGAGATCTCACTATGTTGCTAGGGCTGGTCTCGCTCCTATATCCTCCCACCTTGGCCTCCCAAAGTGCTGAGATTACAGGCATGAACCACCATGCCTGACCTCTCCTCACCATTTTTGTTGAGGTAAATTTAGAGGCAGAATGGTATAGTAATTAAGAGTGGATCTTGGAATCAGACAAAATTAGATTCAGATCCTGCTTCTGCTAATTACCAGTGCATATTCCTTATAAAATTGCTTCTGTAAAGAAGGTAATGATACATGGTTTTCAAGAGAATTACTATTTTTTTGGTTGTCAGTAGAATTAAATGAGATAAATGTAAAGCACCTGGTATTGTACAAAGCATATAGTAAGTACCAAATAGCTGTTAGCTGCTATTAATAATCCATTATCATAATACTAATAATATGAACACTCAGGGCTGCCTTAGAGGAAAAGAGGTTTACAAAAGAACAACTTGCTGCCTGAGGTGCTTGTGTAGAGGGATGATTGTTACCATGAGTTTCTATGCTGGTTGTAGGCTTATGAGCAGCGAAATCTTTTTTCATTGTCAGCATCACAGAGACAGCTCTTGCTGCCTGAGTGGGAGGTGAAGCTGGAGCAAGGCAGGGGCCCTGAACCATCAATTTGGATGCAGGGTGAAGGCATGGGGGCACAAGAATAGTATTCATATTAAAAAAGTCAGTGTGACTCTGAAAAATGGTTCACTCTTCCAGAAAAGAGCACCCTGGTGACCTAGGTCAGGGCTTTAGATTCCTAGATCCCCTTATTTTAGGTCTCAGTCAGTATTTGAGGATCTTCATTTAGTCCACTCTTTTCATTAAGTCCAATCTTTAAAAAATGTCTGCTTTTGAGTATCTGTTTCAGAATATCATGGCCCAGAAATTGTGATATCTGTATAACTGTCTACTGTACCTTCTTCACTCCAATATCTGTTGCAAATACAGATAGAGTGCTAATATAACTATTTGATAATAAAAAGACATGGGGAGCGTTTGGAAAGAGTCCCACAGATGTTCGAAGGCTTCATGTTATAGTCAGGTAAAGAACTGACTAAAGTAGGGATTTTATGAATGTGTTAGAGCTTTGCCATGGACTTATGCAAAGGATCTGCCACACCATGTGGACCAGAAAGGAAATGGCTCAAGATGTTAGAGATCCACCATTATTACCATATTCCTGAAGAAAGTTGAGATGACTGGGTGTGGCAGGTCTCTTGGTACCTTTTAGTTCTCCCATTACTGCTGAAAGCCTGGCATAATCCTTCTTTTATTAGCTTATGCACAGGAGTTTGTCAAGCATGAATGTTTAAACTTCAGCATGAGCTTAAGATGCAGGAGAGCATTTGCTCTCTGTTGCAATGGTTTATGTCCTTTTTTTTTTTTTAAAGCAGTCAAACGTTAAATAAAATTTTATTTGAATTCTAATACATAAAATGGACAAAAGTGGAGTTACTTTCTACTGGTGGTGGACAGTGGGGGGTGGGATATAATTACACCTCCTCATATGATCTCTCCGCTCTTCAAGCAGAACCTTTGGGCTCTAAGGACATGGAAACCATTTCTTCAGTTTGTCAGATACAGGGAAAAGGATCAGAGACCATCTATAGAATACTGTCTTCCTCAACCCCACAAGTGTTTTGCTACTCTCAGTAGAACCGTTCTCAACACGCATGTCAGTCACTAGCTATAGGTCAGTCATTGGTGCTGGATGCTGGAGACGTGAAACGTGAATAAGGCATAGTCTGTGCTGGCAAAGAGCTCACAGTCTAGTGAGGTACTTTCCAGCCTTTTTCCCATCATGGTATACACAAAGAATGGTAATAGTGAGACTTGAAATCTGAGATGGCTGGCCCAAGAGCTCTAGCCACCCCAAGCCCTGCCCAGCCATCCAGTGGCTGATAGGATCAGTATCTCCAGCTGACCTGTAATGCACTCGAGGCACATTGGGCAGTTCCAGCTCTGGAAAGCAAAACAGGCAAACGTGAATACTGCAGCAAGTCCTAGAGTAAAAGTGTGTTTGGGATGCTGAGGGATCACAGATAACTCTTATACCCCAGGCAGGCAGTTCTCTGTTCCTCTGTGTCCTTAGGCTCCTCTGTATAATGGTTGGCCTTGTCCACATCATGTCTTCCTGTTTAAGCAGTTTACTGTCAGCTCCATCTTAACTTGCACAGTGGGACCAGTTTAAGGGCAGAAGATTATTAGGGGTCTAGGCTATTAATGGACTTTCAGTGATTTTGTAATTAAGAATGTACAGTGTTCTGGATATCCAAGACTGTAGAGGTGGGCATTGGATTGGTACAGCCATAGAATATCAGGAGCTGTAGTGGTTGTAAGCTGGTCAGATTCTAAGAATAAGGCAACCTGAAATTTTTGGGTAGAGGGCAGTGCCACAGTATGTTCCAAAGAAACAAATGAGTCTAGTTTTTATCTTGTCAGTGTTTTATTTGGCTAGGATTCTAAAACAGACCTTGTCCTCTGTTCTGACTCACTTGCTGAGGGTTGTCCATGGTAAAAGCCAGACCCTTCCCAGGCATTTTGGGTCTCCATCAGACAGGGTGGTTCGGGATCCTTCTTCACTTCACAGCTGTGGCCTCCTTCAGGTTTGTGTGTCCTGGAGTTTTTTCCAGGATTGTTCTTTGACTAGATGGGAAGCTGGCGTAACAATTCTGGCCTGAGCCTAAATACCACTAATTGAGTTAATTGGGACTTATTTAGTTAGATATGTTTTAGTTTATATCAAAACTGTAGCTTTGGATCCTCCCTCTTTTCTTTTGTGTGTTCTATCCCCATTGGTGTCTATGATGTCTTGCTCTCTTGATTTCCCTTCTGCCCATCTGGTTGCTTCTTATTCTTTCCTGGCCTGCTTTTCTGCCCACTACTTTATTTATTTATTTTTTTAATTAATTTTTTTTTTGAGATGGAGCTTCGCTCTTGTTGCCAGGCTGGAGTGCAATGGCACGATCTTGGCTCACAGCAACCTCCACCTTGTGGGTTCAAACCATTCTCCTGCCTCAGCCTATGGAGTAGCTGGGATTACAGGCATGCGCCACCATGCCCGGCTAATTTAGTACTTTTAGTAGAGACGGGGTTTCTCCATGTTGGTCAGGCTGGTCTCGAACTCCCCACCTCAGGTGATCCACCCATCTTGGCCTCCCAAAGTGCTGGGATTACAGGCATGAGCCACTGCGCCTGGCCTATTTATTTTTTGTTTATTTGTTGTTTTTTTTTTTTTGAGATGGAATTGCGCTCTTGTCACCCAGGCTGGAGTGCAATGGTGCAATCTCACCTCGATGCAACCTCCGTCCACCTCCTGACTTCAAGCAATCCTCCAGTCTTGCCTCCTGAGTAGCTGGGATTATAGGAATGCCCCACCATGCCCAGCTAATTTTGTATTTTTAGTAGAGATTGGGTCTCACCATGTTGGCCAGGCTGAAGTCTCGAATTCCTGACCTCAGGTGATCCACCCACCTCGGCCTCCTAAAGTGCTGAGATTATAGCTGTGAGCCACCGCACCTGGCTCCCGCTACTTTAAATGTTGGTGTGTCAGGCAGGTTTCCGCCTTTGCCCTTTTCTCCTATTCTACTGTGTACACTATCCCTAGATATTTCAGTTAGAATGTATTAGTTACAAAAATAGAAAACACATATGTGGCTAACAGGCTGAGAGGATTTATTAAATCATATAGCAAGACATCTAGTAGAAAGGCAGACATAGGCTGGGTGCCGTGGCTCACGCCTGTAATCCCAGCACTTT